AGGCGTGAGCCATCAGTGCCCAGCAAAGTCTGGGCTTCTTTTACCACTTAACTATGTAACTGAGGTGCAGTGTTTTGATTCTAATCTTGAATTCTTCCTTGGCTCTTTTGCTCAAGACTGGTGCTAGACCACTTAAGCCACTCCTGTACTTTGGACATTTTTTGGTGGCTAATTGTGCATACAAGAAGCTACTCAGGAGGCTGAGATGTGAGGATTAAAATTCAAAGCCAGTCTGGGCAGGAAAGTCTGTGAGATTTTTATCTCCAATTAACCACACACACCAAAAAACAAACAAAAAAAAAACAAACAAGAAAAAACAGAAATAGAGCTGTGACTCAAGTGGTAGAGCACCGACCTTGAGTGAAAAAGCTAAGGAACAGTACCCAGGCCCTGAGTTCAAGCCTCAATACAGACATATACACACATGCGCAAATTGGAGATAAGAGTCTCACAGACTTTTCTGCCTGGATTGCTTGAACCAGGTCCTCAAATCTCAACCTCCTTAGTAGGTAGGATTTCAGGCCTCAGCTGCCATCATCTTCTTCCTCTTCTTCTTCCTCTTCCTCTTCCTCCTCCTCCTTCTCCTTCTGCCATGCTGAAAATCAAACTTGTATGCTAAGCAAGTTTTCTATCATTGATCTACATCCCCAGCCCCTCTACTTTTTTTGGGGGGGGGTGTCAGTCATGGGGTTTGAACTCTGGGCCTGGGTACTGTCTCTCAGCTCTTGAGTTCAAGTCTAGCACTCTACCACTAGAGCCACAGCACCACTTCTGGTTTTCTGGTGATTTATTGGAGATGAGTCTCACAGCCTTTCCTGCCCGAGGCTGGGTTTGAACTGCAATCCTCAGATCTCAGCCTTCAGAGTAGCTAGGATTACAGGCATGAGCCACCCAGCCCCTCTATCTTTTAAAAAAGATTGTGAGCAGGGTATTGGTGATGGCTCACACCTGTAATCCTAGCTGCTAAGGAAACTGAAATCTGAGGATCATGGTTCAAAGCCAGTTGGGGAAGGAGAAGTCCAATTAACTACTAAAATGCCAGAAGTGGAGCTGTAATTCAAAGTAGTAGGGCACTAACCTTGAGCACAAAAGCTCAGGGAGAGTGTCCAGGCCCTGAGTTCAAGCCCTAGGACCAGCACCAAAAAAAAAGAGATTGGAGCTGGGGCTGTAATTCAGTAGTAGAGTACATACATGGGGGGGGGGAGGAAGGAGGGATGGAGAAACAAAAGAGAGAGAGGAGAGGGAGAGGAGGAAGAGAGTTGGCAGGGTTTTCTCAAAGTAGTAGCCTTCACACAATAGTTTTCAGCAATGTTTTATTTCATTGTTCGTTTCCTATACAATTTCTAATCTAATCTTCACCTGATTATCAAGTTAGGCTGTGTGCTGTCCCATTTTGCAAAGTTAATTGAGCTACAGCCCTTGCCCCTAAATGCACAGCTAGCAATGGAGGGCTGCCTGCAGCAACCAGATCTTGTCTCTTAAGTCTTCCAGGAAACACTGTTAGGGTCAGGTTATTTGTTCTCCCTTCAGCTATGGATGGAAAAGAGGTCTTCCCCTTTGCTTGCGCCAGCTTTCGCAGTGTTCAAATGGAGTGTACCGCCAAATGGAAACCTCTCTGGGCTTCCATTTCTAAATGAGGCCATTGCACCAGACTGCGAAGCCTCTGCTCTCCCGGGGCTGACATTCTGTGATTACTGAGCATTGGTGGAAGAGGGGGGAGCTAATTGAGTGAGTTAGTAATTTGGTTGCTAAGGTAACTCTTTCCTGATTGGAAGGAAGGGATCACAGGGTTCAACAGAGACTTTGCTGGATAGGAAAGTGGTGTCTGATCTTCCCTTCATGTTTCTGCTTCTGAGCTGGAAAAAGGGGTGGGAGAAGGATAAAAATCGAATTCAAATATTGTAGCACTTATGTTTAATTTAGAATGAGATCTTGGGGTGGCAGACTCTGGAGTCTTTTATAAGGAGTGATATTGTTTTCTTCAAATCACTTATTTGCCAGTTGGTTTATTTTTGGTTTGATCTTTTTTCATTCAGTCAGTAGCTTTGCTGGTTTATTTCAACTAGACCCTCTTCTATGGCTAGCTGTCTTCATTGGGTGCTGCACATTTTGTAAGAAATGAATGCAACAAACCTGTATTCCCTCCTCAGACTGGGCACCTTGGGTGGAGTTTTCAAGGTTTCTAATGATTTGTGCAACTGCAGTGTCATTTACATTGTTTTTTGTTGTTGTTGGTGGTGGTGGTGGGGCTTGAACTCACGGGCTGGGTGCTTTCCCTGAGCTCTCTGCCCAGGCTAGTGCTCTACCACTTTGAGCCATAGCTCAGCTCCACTTCGTTTTCTGGTGGTTAATTGGAGATGAGTCTCACAGACTTTCTTGCCTGAGCTGTCCTTGAACTGCAGTCCTCAGATCTCAGCCTCCTGAGTAACTAGGATTAGAAGCGTGAGCCACCAGCACCCAGCTCACATTGTAACATATATGCAGAGTTGTTCAGGGAACAATGTTGGGCCCTATGTGCTATTGTGGTTTTTAGAACTAGACCTAAGCTGGGAGCCCAAAGAGCTAGGTTAAATGGCTATACCTGTAGACCTTGGCAGGATTTTTTTGGTCATGGGTTTGAACTCTGGGCCTGGGCACTGTCCCTTAGCTCTTTGGCTCAAGGCTAGTGCTCTACCATTTGAGCCACAGTGCCACTTCCAATTTTCTGGTGGTTTATTGGAGATTAGCGTCTCACAGACTTTCCTGCCCTGGCTGGCTTTGAACCGTGATCCTCAGATCTCAGCCTCCTGAGTAGCTAGGATTACAGGTGCGCAGGATGAATTTTTAAAAAGTTATAGTATTTCAAGTGACTCATACATACTTGACATTAGTTTTGATTTTGCTTTTGTTGGCTTGTTTTTCTTTTTGACTCAGAGCCTTACTCTACAGCCCAGAGCTTCAGATCCTCCTCTCTCAGTCTCCCAAGTGCTGAGATTACAGATATATACCCCCATGCCCAGCTCAGTTTTCCTTTATCAAGGGAAGGTACTTGTCAGTCTTAAAGTTGAGTATGGCCTTGTTCTTATTACAAACAGTCAGCATAGTGTATGTGATAACAGGTTGGAAATGGGGAGAAAGCCCTGGATTACTCCTAACTCTTGACCTCTGATTTCTGTCCACAGCTCATTGCCCTGGCTAAAAACCTCAGGGCTACTCCCATGTTAGCAGAAGTTACCTGACCATTTCCCCCAGCCCCTGTGGTAGTCCACTGGCTGCTGTGTTCTGAAGGTCTTCCTCAGAAACAGTCAGTGTCTAAGTATTTCAGAGAGAGAGGGAAGGTCATTGGTTCTAAAAGGGAGGTAAGATAATCAGGACTCAAGTCATAGAGCCCTCTAGAGTGCAAGTTGGGGATCATGGCTCACCCTGTTTTGAAAAACTGAGGACCCCATCAAGTGGCTACTTAGGGCTAGTATTGGGTATGGGCTACTGTTCATCTCTAGTACATGCCAGTCATCATGTGTCCTTTATCTCATTATCCCTGCAGTACAGAGGAGGAAACGGAAGCCCAGAGTGGTTGAGCAACTTGCCCAAGGTTCCCTCCCCATTCATTAAGTGGACTTAAACACTGGGTACACTTTCAGCCACCCAGCCTGGTTCTACCAGAGGGTAGAGATGGGCTGTTGTGATGGTGCAGGGATAGAATGGTAGTAAATGTGCCAAGGACAAAGAGGGAGGAAGACTCCTTTAGTGACCATTCAGCCAGTTTTCCTACTGCCAGGCACACATCTTGAGCAGCAACCTAATCAACCATTCCATGGTCACAACAGACAAAAAGGGGGTGTCTTCCAGACTGCAGTGCCAAGCTGACAGTCACAGGCAGCTTCCTCACATCATGATCCCTGACTAGTAATCCAAAAGGCTCTGAGGTTTTGTTGAATGGGATTGGTCCAAAACCTGACCTCACTTTCATTTAATTTCATGCCAGCACCAATACATACACCCAGCTGCGCAGACCTAGTCTAACTAGTGAGCTGTTCAGACACAAAGGCCTCTAATTACCATCCGCGGGCCAGGCTGACAGGGATTTCAAGTGTTTTCATGTTTATGGAGATCAGAGAAATGCATTCTGTACATCTTTCCCCACTGGTAGCAAGTGTAAAAATAAAAACAACCAGGGAAACAAACAAAAAATTCCAACACATTTATTCAAAAACAGTTATCTCAGTTAAGTTAAAATCCTATAATCAGGACAGCCACCATTGCAGACACTCCGGTGCGAAGTGTAGATATGTCAATAGTCACATCTGGATACTGAGCAAGAGGAGTCAAGGCTGAGCCACCGACTCTCTGTAAAACTAAAACACAATGGTCTTAGCACGCCCAGACAGAACAGTATTTCCCAGCTTCACCATGGTCACCGCAGCAAAGCCTGCAGCTTCTCCGTTAGGAGGGTCACATTTTCTACTCGGTTTCCTTCACTTACAAAGGCGAGCTGGCATGGCCGGGGGAGGGGCAGAGGGAGGAAATCAACTCCGTCTATCCAGGGAATTGCAGCTGTTATTGCAAATGGCCCCGGAGAGCCCATTATAAGCTGCTATGCAAGGCTGTATGTCCCTGGAGTGCCCATCACGTGGTGGTGCCTCCTTAGCCCCTTGCCCGGGGGCCCCCAGGATCCGCCAGCGCCACCCACTTGAGCAGGGCAGCAGAGCCGAGGGGGAGGGACTCGGGGACACGTTTCAGGGCAGTTTCTGTGAAAGCCCCGAGTAGGACAAGGGGCGGTGGTCACTCGGGCGCCCAGCGCGTCCCTTCCCCATGCGTGTCCTCGGGACGCTCCACACTTTTTCTAACCAGCATAAGCGGGCATGGTTACTCTTCCTGCCAGAGCCCTGGACACACCAGAAGCGCCCACCAAACAGTGACCTTGAACTCGAGGAGGGGTGAAGGGCTTCAGAAACATTATCTTAGCCTTCCACCACCCAAGGCCCTCCCCCCACCCCGTCCCCGCCTCCCATGCCCACTCCTGGCACAGTCTTCCCCAGCACTTTGATAATGGCAACAGTTGCAAAGATGGAACAGAGAAAAAAGTTCCTCCTGTTGAACCCCAAGGGGATCCTTTCGTTGTACCCCACGTTCTGTATTAAAAAGCAGTTCTCCCCTCCACCCCAATTGACACGAGATAAGTTTTCTAAGTGGGGTAGATATCCAAGCCTGGCATTTTAGGGGTGCTCCCTACATTATCGTCTACTCAGATCAGGGACCAGTCCTGTAAAGGTCAACCAAATAAACGGCGACGACCCTCCGTCGTCCCGGGGTGAGGCGGCCGGAGAAGCCCGACGTGGCCACGTGGTCGCCGGGCTGGCAGCGGGAGAGTCTGCGCAGAGCCGCGCGCCGCGCCGCCAGGTTGTGTCACTCCAAATAAGGAGTCTTACTGACTGAGAGGTTGGGGTGCTGCGCCCTAAGAGCTGCCTCAGGCAAGGTTCCCAGGGTCCTCGGGTTTCAAACAGATGCTGGCCCTCAACCTTGGTTGTACATGAAAATATTCGCGTTTAGGTTCTCCGTCTTCGTTAAGCTTATTATTATATTATTATTATTATTTGCTTCTTCCAAAAAGCACACGTTGTCCACGGCCCGAACTGGGTTGCAGCTCTCGAGAGAAGCTTCTGGCACCCTCTCCCGCCCTCCCCCCGCCCCTGATCAGAGGCTGGCGCCGGGGCCACCCTGGCTGTTAGCTGCCGGGGACAAGCATGCCATCTCCAGTTCGGAGCTGCGCCCTCCGCCCGGACACGCCAGGGTCACTGCAGGCTGGACGAGGGCTTCGGGGCGACGGGGGCTCGTGCGCGGGGGCCGACAGAGGCCCCGGGGGCGGGCGCTGGGGAAGCTTTGCGTGTAACTGTAGCCCTCGCGAATGAAGCCTGCGCACCGCCTCCTTGATGAGGTTTCCTGAGAGCACCAGCTGCTGCAGGAGCCGGTGCGGGTCGTCGTCCCCGGTGCGGGTTTCTGGCTGGGACCCGCGTCGCTGTTGTAGGCGGCGGGACGAGGCGGCGTTCCGGAACCATCCTCGGCGGCACGGCCCGGACAACGGCTGCGGGATGCCTTGCTTGCCAGCTCCCGGAGGCCCATCCAGGCCAGGCTGAGGGGGCAGAGTGGACAGCGCTCCGGGGCCTGCGGCGAGCTCCGCCACGCAGTAGGGCGCCGCCCGGCCCCGCACGCGGCCTC